AGTCTTCCCTGGGCCCAGCACACACACTCAGCTCACTGATGGCCCGTGGGCTGTCGGGTTTGCAGTGGTCAGCGTCACGCTCTTTGGTGCATATCTGTTTATTATGAAAATTTCCAAACACACAGAAAAGTGGGAAGGGAGGGAGGCCAGAACATTGGACCATCAGCTTGTCAATTTTAAGAAGGACTGAGGCCCAGAGAGGGTGTCCTCCCTGCCCAAAGCCACACAGCTCAGAGATCTAGCGCTTCCCCTAATACGGCAGATTTGGGCAAATTGGACCAGGAGGAAGACAGGGAAGGATTCACTTACTGTGTTTAAAAATTAAGAAAAAAAAAAAAAGGTGGTGGCTGAATGCACACATTATGGTACATCTACTCTTTCCAAAAATTTGATCGAAACAACAGAAAAATATGTAAAACCAGAGCACCACTGAAAACCTTGGAGGAGTGCTGCCTGCACACCAGGGCCATTAGAATTTCTGAAAGAGGATAAAGCACAGCAAGTGATTAAGTGGAAAGATAATGGAAAACAGGAATTTACAAGCCCATTTAGGCAAAAGCAAGGACCTTCACAAAATGTGAGCATTCCCAGCAGAATTCCTAAATAACCCCTAGATAAGAAGCAGCATGAACTAAGAGAAAGCCTACAGCAGATGTGGTTGGTTGAGAAATTATCCCAAGGGCAGTGTGAGGGCAGCACCTGCTTTCAGAGATCGGGTCAGTATTGGTATTGGTATCAGCATTAGTATTACTATTAGTATTAGCCAGATAACCCCTGAAGAGCTCTCTAGAGTGGGTGCAAGGCCCAAGAGACGATTGTGACCCAGAGCTGCCCGAATGCACCCATGAGGCCACATCCCTGTGCAAACCTGCACAATCCCAACCCAGTTCCCCTCCTCATGGTCACCCAAGGCAGGCCCAGTAGGTGCCCCTTCTGCCTGTGTGCACTAGATGTACCATATATGCAAATGCCCAGATGAAGGCCTGACTATTCATGGAGGGAACTCATGGGACAGACAGAAATGTTACCAAGGGGAGGGAAAGACTCACCTTTCCTTATTCTGTAAACTCCCATATACTTGTATTTCTTTATCATGAATCTATATTCTTATTTATACACATAATATAATATATATTTAAATAACTCACATATTTAATTCCTATCTTTAAATATAGATTCAGATCAATATTTATTGATGTATAATTATAACAAGAGATGTTAAAATAAAAAAGCATAATATAAAACAGCATGGGTTTATTTTTGTAGAAAAAATTATATTTTATGAATACATATGCTTAGGAAAAAGTATAGAAAGATAAACACCAAGAGGTCAACCACAGTTAATTCTGCACAGTGGAATAACAGATGACTTTTAGCCTAGCTCACACCAACCTCAAACTCCTGGGCTCAAGTGATCCTCCTGCCTTAGCCTCCCGAGTAGCTGGGACTACAGGCGTGAGCCACCATGCCTGGCTAATTTTTTGTTTCTATTTTTAGTTGACTGGCTAATTTTTTTTTCTATTTTTAGTAAAGACGGGGTCTCACTCTTGCTCAGGCTGGTCTCGAACTCCTGACCTCAAGTGATCCTCCCGCCTCGGCCTCCCAGAGTGCCAGGATTACAGGCGTGAGCCACTGCACCCAGCACAAATAGTCTTCAACGACAACCAAAAAATGGAGTTGGTCATCACAGCACCAGATATGTCAACATATTTCTGGAAATCAGAAGCCAGCCATCTAGTACAAATATGAAAAGGAATATAGGGGGGCAGTAGTGGGTCCCTTCTGCCCTCAGCACTAGAGTGAGTAGGTTTCAGGGTGTGAAGAATCCCATCTCACTAACTCAGCATTTCATGAGGAGAGGAAACTGTCTTGTTCCCCTGTTGTGTTCCCAGAACAGGAGGTGCTAAATAAAAGTTCGTGAAATGAATAAGCAGAATAAGACACACTTTATCGGTATGAGGTCTGCTCTTGGAAACAGTGCACAAACACATATTGGGGCAAAACTTTAATAGCGAGGCATGGAAACTGGAGTTTAACAAAGAGAGTTGTTTAAACAACTTACAGGATGCTTGGCTGAAAGTCTTCCAGTCACAGTTCCAGTTTGATTCCATGTAGAGGAGATGGAGCCCTTTATCAGTTAAGAAGAATCAGGTTAGACTCAAGCAATGCTGTGTGAAGTCAAGAACATGGCAGACCCTTCACCTACAACATAGAACACTCGCTGGCCCTAAACTCCTAACCCTGAAATGTCCTTGGAGCCACAAAATTCCTGATATGTGATCAGGGAGGCGCAAAGAAGGAAGTTTCCCTCTAACCCACGTAAGAGCTGCTCTAGGACACGTGGGTCTTCATGTCACTCAGAAGTCCTGTGCACAGGGAGAGGATGGCCAATGTGCTAAGGGGGACTTGGCATGGACTCAAGGTGGGGCTGTATGTCACAGACAGGTTGTCATGTGCTGTGTGGCCTCAAACAAGTTACAGAACCTCTCTGGCTGCAGTCTCCTCTTGTATGAACTAAAACAGTAACATCTACCTCAAATGATTCCAGAAAAGAGATGCAATAATAGATATGAAAATAGGAGGTCAGCTATAGGGCTTCCACATAAACAGAAGATTTTAAAGTATAAAGCCAACCTATGCTGTAAGAAGACCTGAATAATAACAAAATCATGGTTTATAGTTTTAAGAATATTAGATTATTTCATCATTTACTAAAATTACACAAGTTCTATATGTGTCTGAACTTATGCATAAACCAAATATCTTTTTAAAATTTCAGTTACCTTTTTCATGCAAGCCAGTAATCCATCTACATAGGTTGACTTGATCTTGTGGACCTAAGTTACAGACACAAGAACAATCATTTTCTTTGTTGAAGTGTTTAAATACGTACAACGTCAGAGCAGTGTTTCACAGAGTGCTGGGCATGTGCTGCTGTGCCACCTCAGATGACTCTGGAGGCCCTGAAATGACCTTAGGTGGTATCAGGATTATATAACACTGACCCACAGAGAAAGATTTTGCCCTACCCTTTAAAAATAAACCTATTATTCTGGAATAATTCTAGATTTACAGAAAAGTTGCAAAGATACATAGATAAGTGGACGCCCTGACCCCTGTGCCCTGTGGTGGCCCTGTTTTAGTTCTCCCGCAATCCTTACATTGCTTCTGGGAGAAAGGGCTGGTTTGGTGCCTGTGCGTCCCCTCACCACTGCCAGGTCCTCACAAAGACAGCAGGCCACAGGCAGCAAGTAACAGTACCCATAGTATGGGTGGTGGCAAAGTTATGAACATGGTTCACAAACAACAGAGAACTTCTGAAGTACATTTTCTCTGTACAAACAGAGAAAAGGTGAGTAACTTGAAGAGGAATGGGGCAAATCATTAAATCCCTGGTAAATGTTAATGCAAGATGACAAAACATTGCTGCGGAACAATCTCGCCAGGCCTAGAAGCCATGGGAAGGGGGGTGGCTTTTGTGGGAGGCTTCTAAATACCGAACTGATGGACATCTCATTCACATTAAAGTCACACAATAATGACACTGGATATTTCCATCCAAATTTTCATTAATCTTCTTCCATTTATGACTTCTTGGATTCACAACGCTGAGCGGGCCTGATTGCAGACGTGAGTAAAATCACGCCAGGGAGCAAGTAAGCAGTGCTAATACAAGTTCAACTTGACAAACTATATTCCCTAGAGAACACTGTTAGGGCAACTTCAGCCCTTATGGATTCCTGTTAAGACACAGGGCCATGTGGTTCCCTTCATCACCAGCTAACTTACAAAAAAAATTAACTTACCCGCCTGTATTCCAAAATTATCTTGGGTAATGGATGAAGGTCTTGCAAAGCATTTAACTAAAAAATGAAAATATCACCAATGTAATTCCTTCATTTTATTTTAACATTTTATACACTTATTTTCAGCCGGAGAAAATCCTAGTAATAAATGGTCTAATTGAGCTATTTTCTACAACAAAGATTTATAATAAACTCAGTTTATCATGTGTTTTAATCTAACCCCTTACAAAAATCATTCTGTTGTCCATATAGGAGCTAAAAGCACTTCACACAAACTTGGAAATAAAATCCCTCTGAGATTTAAATTAGTGAAATCTAAATCCAGGATATGTAAAATGCCACATAGGGGAGTAAGCTACAAAGATGCCTACAAACATGTAACTCCATAATTTAGGAACACCCACATCTGAATCACAGTTACCTAGGCACAATCTCAGAGAGATACGAAGTTTTGTGTTTTTTTTTTTTTTCTTTTTTAGAGACAGGACCTTGCTCGGTTGCCCAGGCTGGAGTACAGTGGCATGATCATAGCTCACTTCAGCCCTGAACTCCTGGGCTCAAGTGATCCTCCCACCTCAGCCTCCCAAGTGTTAATAGCTGGGACTACAGGCACATGCCACCATGCCTGGCTAATTTTTAAAAATATTTTTTTGTAGAGACAGGGTCTCGCTATGTTGCCCAGGCTGGTCTCTAACTCCTGGCCTCAAGGGATCCCGCCTCAGCCTCCCAAAGTGCATGAGCCACTGTGCCTGGCCATGAGTTTTTAAATTAACTTTAAAAATCAAAATATAACATACATACAGGAAAGTGCAAGATAATAAGAAGACAGCTTGTTGAATTATGACAAACTGAACACACTTGGGGCCACAAAATTCCTGATACGTGATCAGGGAGACGCAAAGAAGGAAGTTTCCCTCTAACCCACATAAGAGCTGCACTAGGACACGTAGGTCTTCATGCCACTCAGAAGTCCCGTGCACAGGGACAGGGCCCACATCAAGAAATGGAACATTGCAGTTTGCCCAGTAGGTACCTGCTCCTTCCCCAGAGCTAACTACCACTCTGACCTCTACCACCACAGGCTACTTTTTCCTGCCTTTGGACTTCATATCAATGGAATAGGACAGGTATTCTGGTATGGCTTCTTTTGTTCAATATTATGGTTTTAAGGTCCATCTATGTTGTATAAAGCAGTATTTCATTTATTTGTACTGCTGTATAATATTCAACTGTATGAATGTGAGACAATTATTTGCCCATTCCACCCTTGATGGATACCTGGGTTTTCTTCCACTTTGAGGCTACTATGAATAATGCTGCTATGAACATTCTGGTACATAGTTTTAGTTAACGTATGTCCAGAGTTCTGCTGAATATATACATGAAGAGCTGTGAAATTGCTGGGTCAATTTTAGCAGAGATACTGCCAGTTCTTCAAAGTAAACATACCTGTTTATACCCCCATCAGCAAAGTATGACAGTTCTAGTTGACCCAGATCTTTGTCATGTTATCGTTGGTCTTAATTTTAGCTATTCTGATAAAAGAGAAGTGATATCTCACTGGAGTTTTAATTTGTATTTCCCCAATGACTAATAAAGTGGGACACTATCCATATTTATTTACTATTGTATATGTTCTTAAACCCTGTTCATGTTTTTTGCTTATTTGAAAAATTGGTTTGTATGTCTTTTTCTTCTTGATGTAGTAATTTGTTATTCTGGACAGGGTTTTCTTGGTCAGTTATATTTACTGGAAATATCTTCTCCCCTCCTGTGGGCTTGCTTTTTCTCTTGTTTAATGGTGTCTTTTCATGGAGAGTCTTAATTTTACTGTTGTCCAATTTATCAATCTTTTCCCTTACGGTTGATGCATTTTGTATCCTGTTTATGAATGTTTGCCTACCTCAAGGTCTTGAGAATATTCTCTTATGGTACCTTCTCTATTCTTTACTGTTTTGTTTTTATATTTAGATGTACAATTCACTTGGGTTTACATTGTATACAGTGTGAAACAGGGTCAAGCCACACTGGCCCAGTACCACTTAGATAACAGTTTTCTTCAACACTTCACAGCGCTGCCCTGTCAGAAACCATGGGTTTCACATATACTTGTGGAGGTCTCTTTGTGGATTTTATATCTTGGTCCACTGGTCTATTTGTTTATCCTTGACTCAACACCAAATGGTATTACTTAATTAATTCCTGGTAATTCCTATTGCTTTATACTTAGTCTTGATATCTAACAGACAAAACCCTCAAATAGTGCTCTTTTCTCCCCAAGATTATCTTGGCTCCTCTTAATTTTTTGCATTTCAATATAAATCTGGGAATCAGTTTATCAATTTCTACCCAAAAAACTCCTGCCAGGGTTTTAATTAGGATTATTTAGAATCTATAAACCAACTTGGGGGAGAACTGTTATATGATTTTAACGTTATACTATAAACCACTAAATCTTATCACTCCCTATTTGAATAAAGACTGAGAACACAAGAGTCATGACCAGCCATAAAATCATCAATGGAGAGGTATCTTGCCTCGGTACAATCCACGTTTGCAGTTTGCTTGGCGGAGGTATCCAAAGGATGAAAACACACGAAAATACTTAGCCAAGAAAACCGCTCAAGATCATCTAACTCTCCTTATCTCTATACTTCACTTGCAAAATAACTTTCTAAACAACAGTCTAGGAGTATATCTTGACTCAAGCAGCCTAAGAACACTTGGAAAGAATTAGGTGTTTGACCACACAAGGCTGGGGTCAGAGGCAGGGCACTGTCAGCTGTGCAGCTCTGCACGCTCACCCTGTGCTCGGTGCTGGCTCCTGACACCACATTTTTCTGACCTCCCTTCTCACTTTGGCCACTCCACAGTCTCTCACTGCTGCCTCCTTTCTCTCTAACCTCTAAATGTCAGTTTCTCAGAGTTCAAATCTGTGGGTATCAATGCTGCCTGCATATCAGAATCAGTGGGGAAGGGGGCTTCAAAAAACAGGCCCATGACTAGGCCACTCAGGCTATTCTAACTTAGTGGACCAGCTGTGGCCCTGGACATCAGTGTGTTCCAAATCACCAGCCAGGGCAGAGGACCACTATCCCAGGGAGACTTTAATAAAAACCAGCTGACAGTTTCCAAGTGTGTATCTCTAGCACAGGACTTGTCCTGAGCTCTGTCCAGATCCAGCTGCCTATGTGACATGGCACGTCAACGTCTCATGTGCATTTCTGTCTTGATGTGTCAAAACTGAACACTTGAAACACCACCCCCCCAATAAACCATTCCTCTCCTAGCTTTCCCTGAGCAGTGGCCATATCTATTTGCCCAGGTGCATAACTCAGAGATTCAGAACTACCCCACATCCTGACTTTTGCTCACACTCACATATCAGAAGGTCCTTTTTCTCTTCTAAAAATGCTTTGAAAATCCATCTGCTCCATCTTCACTGCTATCACCTGGACTCCTGTGAAAGCCTATTAATAAGTCTCCTCCATTCTCCAACCAGCTACAAGAGTGATCTTTTAAAAACATGCTTCCCCACTGCTAAATATGACTGGCTTAAAAAAAATTTTAAAAACCCAACATACATAACATCTATTAGAATGGTGAAAATCCAGAACACTGACAACACCAAATGCTAGCGAGGGTGTGGCGCAATAGGAACTCTCATTCATTGCTGGTGGGAATGCAAAATGGTACAGCCACTTTGGAAGATGGTTTGGCGGTTTCTTTCAAATTAAAGTCTTACCATATGATCCAGCAATCATGCTCCTTGGTATTTTACCCAAATGAGTTGAAAATTTATGTCCACACAAAAACCAGCACATGGATATTTATAGTTGCTTTATTCATAACTGCCAAAACTTGGAAGCAACCAATTATGTTCTTTAGTAGGTGAATGGATAAATACCCATATAATGAAATATTAGCACTAAAAAGAAATGAGCTATTAACTCATGAAAATACATAGAAGAAACGTAAGTGCTGCAGTCCTCAACCCCTGGGCAGTGGTCCAGTACCAATCTGTGGCCTGTTAGGAAACAGGCTGCGCATCACTGCCTGAGCTCCGTATCTCTCCCCATGGACCCCCCAGCCCCCATCCCTAGTCCATGGAAAAATTGTCTTCTGTGAAACCGGTCCCTGGTGCCAAAAAGGTTGGGGACTGCTGCATAAATACATATCGCTAAGTGAAAGAAGCAATATGAAAAGGCTACATACTGTATGATTCCAACTTTATGACATTCTGGAAAAGGCAAAACTATGGAGACAGTAAAAAGATGAGTGGTTGCCAGGGGTTGGGGAGAGGGAAAGACAAACAGGCAGAGAACAGAGGATTTTCAGAGAAGTGAAACCACTCTGTATGATACTGTAATAACAGATACATGTCATTATACATTTGCCCAAACCCACAGAATGTATAGTACCAAGAGTAAACCCTACCTACATACAAGAGTTACATACCTATGGTCTTTGTGTGATCATGATGTATCAATAGATGTTCATCAGTTGTAACAAAGGTACCACTCTGTGAGGGATGTTGAATGGTAGAGATTGTGCATGTATGGGGACAGGGTGTATATGAGAACTCTCTGTACTTTCTGCTCCATTTTGCTGTTAACCTAAAACTGTTCTGAAAAATAAAGTTATTTTTAAAAACCCTAAGAACATAGCATAGTTGCTACCTTATTTAAACTGTTCCAAGGCTACCCATATTACTAAAAGTCTACATTCCTCACCACAGCCTGCAAAGCACAGCATGGTCATGTTCTTGTCTACCTCTCAACCCCATCCCCCCTGTTCTCCTGTCAGTCACAAGCTCCGGCCTCAGCCTCCTGAGCAGCCTGAGCCCTTTCCTATGGCAAGGCCTTGTTCCCGCTCTGTGCATGGGTAGTTCCTTATCGTCAAGATTCAGCTTATACATCATTCTTCATAGTTCTTTCTGGGACACTCAATCTAAACTGTGTCACTCTCCCTGTTATTCATTTTAATGCATTTTTTTTTCTTTTAAGAGATGGGGTCTCGCTCTATCATCCAGGCTGGAATGCAGTGGTGCAATCAAAGCTTACTGTAACCTTGAAATCCTGAGCTCAAGTGATCCTCCTGCCTCAGCCTCCCAAACAGCTGGGACTACAGGTGCTCAACACCATGCCTGGCTTCACTTTAACAATGCAGTCCCCAGCCCCCGTGCTGTGGACTGGTACTGGTCTGCAGCCTGTTAGGGATGGGGCTGCAGAGCTCCGCCCACTCCCCATTTCTGGAAAAAGTGTCTTCCATGAAACTTAGGAACAGGGAGGGGGTGGGGGGTGCACAGCAGGAGGTGAGCAGTGGGTGAGTGAGCGAAGCTTCATCTGTGTTTAGAGCCCCTCCCCACCCCATCACGCACATCACCACCTGACCTCTGCCTCCCTGCTATCCCCCATCCTCATGCATGGAACAATTGTCTTCCATGAAACCGGTCCCTGATGCCAAAAATGTTGCAGACCACTGCACAGATCTTATCCTGCTGGATACATATGTTCCTTTGATGGTGAATTTTAGGTGTCAACTTGACTGGATTAAGGGATACCTAGATAGTGGGTAAAGAATTATTTCTGGGTGTGTCTGGGAGGGTATTTCCGAAGGGCGTTGGTGTGTGAGTCAGTGGATTGAGCAGGGAAAGACCTGCCCTGAATGTGAACAGGAACAATTCAATCAGCTGGGGGCCCAGATGGAACAAAAAGGCAAAATCTCTGTCTCTTCTGGAGTGGAGATACTCTTCTCCTCCTGCCCTTGGGCATCGGAACTCCAGGCTCTCTAGCCATTGGACTCTGGGACTTGCAATAGCAGCCCCTCAGGCGCTCAGGCCTTTGGCCTCGTACCAAGAGTTACGCCATCAGCTTCCCTGGTTCTGAGGCTTTCAGACTTGGACTGAGCCATGCCACCAGCTTCCCTGGGTCTTCAGCTTGCAGATGGCATATCATAGGACTTCTCAGCTTCCATGACCACATAAGCCAATTTCCCTTAAAAATACCTTCTCATATATCTATCTATGTCTGTATCTACACATACCCTATTGGTTCTCTCTCTCTGGAGAACCCTGACTAATATAGTTTCTTACTGGAATGATATTTTATGATGACAAAGACCTTTTCCTCACCAAATGATAAACAAACAGCTTGCATGGATCCAGGGCCACAATAAATGTTTGCTGAACAAAACAGGGACGACATCTGTCCTGCTCATGGCTGTATGCCAAAGCTAGCAGCATGCATGACATATACTGGACACCTGGCAGAAGGGGTCAGTACACGTGTATGACTCAGTTAAGTCAAGGGGTCTGAGAGGCTTCCTATAATCCAACAATCCTGACTCCTAGGCTGGGCCACCTCCCAGTATTACCTTCCCGTATGATGTTCTGAGAATATGTGACTTCACTGAGGAAAAAAACATCAAAGCCTCCTTCAGTTTGTTGTTAAGGAGGGACCCTTGTTCCCCACTCCCCATGTGTCTTCTGAGGAGAGGGAAGACCTACTGCTCCTCAGCAGGAGGGGAAAGGAACCCTTCCGCTTGGTGCCACAGGTCTCCAGAACACCACCCTGCACAGATGTGAGGAGACACATGCTCTTCAGCCCACATGAGGCATCTATGAATCCTGACGGTGAGTGTCAAAGAACTGACATTGCACAGATCATGTTCTCTAACTATGGTGCATTTAATTTAGAAATCAGTAACAAAAAATTTTGGAATTTTAAGACAACTTCTCAACAGCTCAATGGTTGAAGAATCATACTAGAAATGAGTAAATATGTAGGATTAAACAACGAGAAAAAAAATAGCACGTATCAAAACTTGAGGGAGTCATTTGAGATTTACTGAGCATCCATGCCCCAGGCATTGTACTAAGCACTGCTAGAGCTAGAGCTACAGCTAGTCAGTGAGCTGAACAGTAACACATCCACATGTGATGCCCAGACACAGGCTCAGTAGCCCAGGATAAGGCCATGGAGGAACAGGGGCAGGGAGGCAGGGACAGGCCCTAGGGCAGGAGGAGCTTCAATACTCACCATAGCCTCTGGGAAGGAGACAGGGAGGAGAGAGGGAAGTTGTGAGAATGAGTCTTAATTCTGAATTTGGAACCAATAGCAAGTATTACCTAGTATAAGTTAATCTTTATATGCACAGAATGAAAAGCATGACTTGTTCAGTTAAATAACAGAATGACGACCTGGTACGGTGGCTCATGCCTATAATCCTAACACTCTGGGAGGCCAAGGCGGGAGGGCTACTTGAGGCCAGGAGTTTGAGACCAGCCTGGGCAATAGCGAGACCCGTTTCTACAAAAAAAAAAAAAAAAAAATTAGCCAGGCGTGGTGGCATGTGCCTATAGTCCCAGCTGCTGGGGTGGCTGAGGCAGGAGGATCAATGGAACCCAGGAGTTTGAGGTTGCTGGGAGCTATGATGATGCCACTGTACTCCAACCTGGGCAAGAGTGAGACCTTGTCTCAATAAATAAATAAGAGTGTGAGGTTAATATGATTTATGTCAATCATGTTCTTGTGGGAAAAAAATCAGTCTCTTCATTAAAGTCACTGTCTTAACTCTGCCTACAAGAGAACATATCAACACCAGAAGAGAGTTATATTTCCTTTCTTACATTACTGGTTGTCTGGAGAGTGAAAGGAGCTCCAAAGGGAAGGGTAACAGTGCCAGCTGGTGCCAGGACAGAAAATGAACCAGCTGGGGCAACGCATGGCTCTCCCAGGCAGTACTCACTGCTGGAGCTTAGGGGTGTGCTGCCCACATCTGCTGTGTGGTGCTGAGATCCAAGCCAGAGTCTATGCAGCAAGATGGGGTGCAGCTCCCAGGAGCCACCTGCTGTCCCAGTGCTCAGTGAACAAACCACAGACATTTCAGTTCAGCCCACCAGGGGCTAGTTTTAGGCCATTTTGGTTCTGGGAACCAACTGAAGACTCTGATCCATGCAACCTGCATTCTAGTGGAATAAGCAAACAAACACCTAAGATAACTTTAAGGAGTGGTAAGCGGTGTGCAGAAAATAAATCAAGGTGAAGAAACAGGGAGTAACCGAGGGCTTTACTGTAGTATGGGTGACCAGAGAAGGTCTGAAAACAATATTTTTGTGTATTTTTTTTTGTCTTTTTTTGGCTTCTTGTCTTTTGAGATGGGGTCTCACTGTGCTCAGGCTGGTGTCGAACCCCTGAGCTGCAGCTATCCTCCCGTCTCGGCCTCCCAGAAAGCTAGGATTATAGGCGTGAGCCATCACGCCTGGCCTGAAAACAATATTTAAGCTGATAATCAGAAGCCAGTGTGCAAAATCTGCAGCAAGAGTCTGAGGACTGAGGGAAGAGCTTGTGCAGAGAGCCATGGGCAGCAAATGTGCTCAGCGGGTGCTGGGAGGAGAGAGGGGAGCGGCAGGGGCCAAGGAAAGGGCAGAGCCAGACCCACAGTCCGGGGACACACCCTTGACCTGGGATTTGCTTCTACGTGTGGTGGGAAGCCACTGGAAGTTTTAGTCAAGGAGTAAGATGATTTTTCTAATGCTTTTGAAAGATGGCTCTGCTGGGATGTGGGGAATGACCAGCAGGGGTGAGAGTGGCTGGAGGAAGCAAAGTGAAAGGTGACCACAGTGGAGGCAGTGGGGATGGGGGAAGGAGGCGACTCAAGGTGCACTCGAGGGGTAAGACTTGCTGTGGGTGAGGTGGAAAGAAAGTCAAAGAAGACTCACAGGTTTTTGGATGGAGTGGCCAACACTTACTGGTTTTTTGAGAGCTTTTATGTCAGGCACAGACCTAAATATTATCACACACTCACTGAATCCTCACAAGATTCCAAGAGGGAAAGTACTACTGTCATCTTTCTTTTACAGATCAGGAAATAGACACAGAGCAGTCAAGTGATGAGAATGGTGGCTGACCCCACTGGCCCTGCTCTCACCCACTACTCTGCACGGGCTTCCTGGCATCTGGGGAAGGATGGGGCCCTCCACTAGATGAAGATGACTCGAAGAAAGACAGGATTTAGAAGAAGGTGGTTTCGAGTTCCTTCAGTGGAACATCCTCTGAAGGAGTCCATTCTTCACTCAAAAACTGCCCACTGGACCACTGAGGGCCACATGTGGGCACAGCCAGTGAGCTCCATGAGGGCCTATACTCTAGGCATCCTCACAGAGTGGAGATGAACAGAGAGAGTGCAGTACGGGACAAGCAATATGACCAGAAAAGTCTTAGAAGGAAACCTTCCTCTGCTGCAAAGTCAAAAGCCAGACAGAACACAGAAAGTACAAACTGGAACCTCAAAAGCTGGTTCCCACTGAAATAACCAATATTCACAATAACAAAAATTCACTTATTTACAGACCTTCACTCTATATCCTTTCAGTAAAATTACTTTCTGACTTCTGAATATCTATTTATATTCTACCATTGTAATAGAGCAGAATCTCACTACTCTTGTCTTTTTGTTCTTGTTGTTTTTTGTATTTCTTTTTGTACTTTGGATCATTTACATCAAACTCCTGTCTGTCTAAAGATGTATTCCTCTCAAGAGAAGGGTAGGTAAAATTCCCCAAAATAAATTCGGGGAAAGGAGAAGACTGATGACCCATTTCCAGTCTCTTTCATGGACAAGAAACAAAGAGGTTGTGACAGATTGTCAATAATTTGGTTTTAAGAACAAAACTCCCCCAAATTATCCTTTGCAGGAAGTCAAGCCAATTAATTGCTTCTATAAAAGTATACTGTCTGCCTCTTACTTCTTGGTCCAGAACTAGGAGAGCAGCCTTGGGGTGAGGAGCCCCTCCTCTACAGTGGCTGCTGCCCTCCGAGGGAAGCTCAGGGTGGGTCTGAAAGTCAGCTCACATGTGGTGTAGACATGCTATCATTCCAAAAAGAAAAAGGACAACTTTATAACCTTACCACAGCTTCTGATGTGGATGGGTATTTCTGTAGCCTCATTTTGGGAAGACTCTTTCTTGGATTCAGCAGGTGCAGCTTTAACTTGCCAAAAAGGATCTTCAACAAAGCAATTTACACATGTTGAGAGAGTTGCGCATTTGAGAGAAATGGAACATTACTATCACAGAGTTAAAGCCACCAGCCAGAGAAGACACATCCATGCTATCTGTACACCCAAACAGATATTACAAAATGCTTAAAATTTTGACTTAGTACTTGTCTTAGATTTAAAGGCTTTGAAGTAATGAACCTCAATGTGTTCATTATGTGTTAGAGAACACGAACAGCTTATATACTTTTCAGATAGTCAACATAATATTTATAAATTCAGAATTAATCTCCCTTTAACTCCTAAATAAAAAATATATTTTATGAAAGGATCAAAATTTAGCTTTACCTCTCGAAGCTGATTATTACTCCTTATAAGAAACTGTTCTCCTGCAGCAAAATGGGCTTCTTGCTCTAATTCCTTGAGATGAGCCTGAAAATGTGATAAACACAATTAATCTCATTAATAGTTTTCAAAATTTAAAATTATTTAATTAGTCCAAACAACTCTCAACAAAAGCTCTTAATAGAATAAAAAATAATCTATAATTTACCAAAATGGACATTAAAAATACATATTTTGACTCATGGTGGAATACTCACGCTCATAGAATCACCCTTTCCCAAACCTAAGAAAAGAAGCTAAAAGAAGTAAAAATAATAATGCATCAAAATGAGGGAGGGAAAGAATGAATTCTCCAGCATTAGGATGAGAAAAGGGACCCAGCATCACATAAAACAACACGGAGAGGTAGAAGGTATAGGTAACAAGCTCATATCCAGAATATGTCAAGATGTCCTATAAATCAGTAAGAAAAAATACAAAAATGGGTAAAAGACTTGAGCAGAACCTTTACAAAAAAGAAACTCCTAATAGCTAATAATGATATGAAAAGCTATTCAACCTCATTAGTGTGAAACAAAATGTGATATACAAAATGATGTTTCTCTGGTTCAGAGCTCTAAAATGGAGTCTGGAAGCCATTCTAAGGAGGACTGCCTCCACCCTCCACGATTTGCAACTTTACTAAAACAAAACAAAAAAAACAACAGGAACTTGCCTTGAACCTTTGAACTGGTCCAAACTACAATGACCATAACATCATGGTAAACATCTGAATTTTGTCAGTGCTGCAACTCCTGAACAGCAACAACCAATGAACTATGGACTCAGGTACTAAGCCAGCTGCCTCCACCAATTACAATTCTTTCAAAAACCCTTAACTTTCTTTAAAAAACCCCTACTCCCATTCTTCTCTTTGGAACATACTGGGCCATTAGCTGAATCTGTGTCTCCCAAATTGCAATTCCTAAAACCCCAATAATACCTTGTCTTATTGTTTTGCAGTCTGATCTTTGGCCTCTTCCTAGTTGACATTAAATGGTATCAAAAGTGGGATATGAAGCAACTCTCCTCCTCTGCATTCTGGGGCTGCTATAGATTCAAGCACGGTGACTACAAGAACCCCTTGTGTCCCACTGCTTCCCTGATGACCCCAGACCCTGTTGGGGAGTCCTCTCATTTCCCTGAACCTCCTGTCTTGGTTGAGGTTCGGGTCTTTATTGGGTGTCCTTTGTTACTAGCTGTCAACAAAGGGATTTTTTCCTTTTTGGTGAATACTTATGGAGACTTCTCCTTCTTAAGTATAGGTACTGATTCATTCCCTTCTGGAGCCTCTGCTGGTTTTTTGTATAAAAATTACAGTCCTTTATCTTGTAAATTTCTTTCTCGATGGACTGATATCACTGAAAATGATTTTAAATTACAATGGCCAACTTGGGGATCTTTTGATGTACCAAAACTTGTTTTCCTCCACAGACAATTAGAAGGGCAAAAAGGAAAGATTAAATAGCCTGAGTGGGATGTATACTTTAATTTGGTATCTTCAGGCATCTAAAAGACTCCAGGAATCTAAACTAGTGTCTTTAAGAGATACAATGCCAAAATAGATCAAAGACTCTAAATTACAAAAAAACTTAGAAGCTCCTAAAACAAAACAAATCTGAAACCAAGCATGCCTCTATTTATTTGTCTTTGTCCTGTGTTGCCTCCCCCTCCTATCCTTACCTCTCCCATCTTACTGTCACCCTCTGTACCCTCTTGCTTATATGGTAAAAACTTATCCTAAACATGGAAAATTACCTCCTGGGCTTTCCATGAAGAGGCTTATAGGATTGCATTGCTACTGGAATAAGTACACCACTGGAAATTCTAATCATCAGTGGTCAAAAAATGGATCCTTTAAATGAGGAAACTCCTATATTTGAAAAATATTTTAGAGATCTCTTATTCTAAACAATTGTCTTATTTGTATTTATGGGAGGATCAAATTTTTTAAAAAAATACAGAAATAGTGTCATGGCTAGCCTTAGAAATTCTCTTGACAAAATTAAAGAGCAAAAATCTGACCTAAAACAAAGTTAAAATCCTTTGTATGCTCAAACTGCCTGCTTTGGATTCCTTGTGGGATTTACCAAAAAAAAAACAGGTACTCCACCCTGGGTCTAGTGGTTAGGATTCGACACTTTCACTGCTTTGGTCCAGGTTTGGTTCTTGGTCAGGGAACCAGTCCCCTTGCAGATGTAAGTCCTTTAACTCAGGAGAAGAAATTTGTGACCCTTGGCTTTTTCGGGTTTCTGTGTTTCTCATGGAGTCCCAAGAGTCGTAGACAGATTCCTCTCAGGTCTAAACCTCTCCTTTCTTTTGCGCTGAGTTTCCTGATCTCTCCAGCTGTTGGGGATATGAAGGGTTACTTTGTACTGTGGGAGAAAACTTGACCTTTGTGTGTTCAATGGCTGGTGGGTCACTAGTGAGGGCTGCAGCTTTAGAAGTGGCTGGCAGTGAATGGTTTTTACTGCAGGTGGGCTCCTTGTTTCTTTGTGTGTTTAGATAGGAAAAATGAGGGTTTGACACTTGCAGGCTTTGGGAACACTCATTACTAAGGAATAAGACCCCCGTGGGCGATGGGCTGATAACAGAGTGGGCTGATGGGTGCTAGGTTTCCCATCAGCCTCAGGGGAATGTCCCTGTAGGAGGGTGCACTGTGGAAGGGTTGCACGGCTCAGTCCCTTGGTATTTCCCTCTTTTTAGGGACTTGGGATTAAGTGTGAGAAATGGGATCCATGATTTCTGGGGATCTAGATGCTCTGATTTTCACAATTGTTAAGTATTAGGCCCTGGAAACTACAAATGCTATTTTGGCCCTATTCATTAATGGGCTCTGCCCTGAAATCAGTGGTCTAGTTGGAAAATGAAGACTAAATTAGAAGTCACCTATCTAACTATATTGGTCTCCAAAATAAGAATTTCTGGCATTCAGCTGGTTATTTTGAAAATATTTTTGAATTTTCTCTAGGATCATCTGTATGCTTCCTTGTAAAATCCTATAGTTTTGCATTACCTTGGCATCCATTTTTAATCTTCCTATAAGTAACACACCCAAATCCTTCTTTAAAAAACTTAAACTCTTTCTCTGTGCTTTGAGATATAAATTTGCTACCCTGTTTTCTCTAAAACTTGGTAAGAGCTTTGGCCATGTGGGACAGATAACATTTAACTTGCTCCATTTACAGAGGCACAATTTAATCCAACTGTCCCCTTAAATTAGTGAGTTTTAGTGGTCTCATGGCTAAAATTTTAAAATCAAAGCTATTATACCTTTGTGTTTGTCTGTATTTTTATGTATACATAAAAATCTATGTATACATGTCTACATAGTACCAAATTGACTTATAGATAAATGAGTGTTCATAAATTAAATAACTAGTCCAAATGCTTTCAAATTTATGTGACTTTAGTAATCTTTGGTAAATAAATACAATTTTAAAATTATTGGTAAAGTAAAATAGAAGTGTCTTCAAAATTTTAGGCATTTTTGCCTGAGGCTTCTAGTCAGACAAATATGTACTATCTCTGCTAGATGTTTTAAGGTCATAAAGCTGTTGTTTTTGTGATATTTTTAATACTTGCTTGATTTTTCTGTGAGCTAATACTGTGAAGGCTGGCTGCTGGGCTTTTCCAAAGCCTTGCACACATCTTACTGTGAGCTTATGTCTTTAGTTTTGAGCCTTTAGATTCTAGGAACTAGACAGGTGGCCATGGTGAGGGCTGAAGATATATGTATGTCCACAGTGACTAGACCAGCAGCTGTAGGGCATAGCCAAGCCCAGTACATCCTCCCTGGCCCAATTCAGCCTGCTGGCCATGCTGGGAGGGGTCAGATCCTCCAGGCATTGTCTTTACAACTCTGTCCTCTGTTCTGGGTTCTGCATCTGATACATAACAATTAAAATTCCATACTTCATAGGTTTTTCACTAGAAATTAGGGATACTAAGAGTTAAACCTATCGCTAAGATATATATAATTAAAACTACTAAGAGAAATAATTCTAAATGCAAAGTGTACAAGAAAAGTAGAATATGTGTTGGTAAGGAAGGTTATTTAAAAACATGAGGATGTGATTTTTGTTAAAGAAAAATTAATTTTGTTTAGATTAGACATTATTTAAAGGTTGCTTTACATTGAAGAAATAAAAAAATAATAATGGATAAAAGTGAATGGATATATAAAGTTAGGGAAAGAAAGAGAATGGGAAAAATCATAAGTTATAAAAGGTTTATGGAAATCTTGTGTGGTCAAGCTGAGATTAGATGGATTTGTTTATAAGGTTTTATTAAAATTAGCTTTAGTATTAATGATACAATGATGCAAAGGTAGAATTTGGTTTTCTTTTTTAAACAAGATTTTCGTGCAGTATTAATAAGAAATAGTAAAAGACTTGTTCACCTTTTGAGTAAATTACAAAAAAAAAAAAAAAAAAATGGGAGAGTTTGCCTCATGCTGTCTTTGTAAGTTCTGAATTTATATATCCCAAATTGCAAGTCCTAAGACCCCAATAACACCTTGTCTTACTGCTCTGCAGTCTGGTTTTTCACCTCTTCTTGGCTGACATTAGGAATCAGGAAAATAGCAACTAAACACATAACAAGACACCAGTATGTCCTCATCAAAATGTCTATAATTTAAAAGTCTGACACAGATGGCAGCTACCATCTTCTGGCTACTGTGGGGGGCTTGAGAACCAGTGTCCAGCTGGGCTGCAGGCTACGGCTGCTGAGCCAGACCCAGGGGCTTGTGGATTATCCCATCTTTGTGGAGTCTGTGGATGAATACCAGTTTGTGGAGCACCTGTTACCGCCACCAGCATCCCCAAACCCCCAAAGCATGAACATTATCCCACTCCTAGTGATTGGCAGCCTCCCAGAGACCCCTCCCGCCCCGCCACCAACCCACCCTGCCCTACTTTGTGTGGGATGCACAATATCCCTGTCTATACGGACATTGCACATGGTAGCCACCCAATGACTGTGATCTGGAAGGTGGAGGGGGACATCTGGGCTCTGCAGAAAGATGTAGAGGTTTTCTGAGCCCACTGCTGGGGAAGACACCTGTTACCAGCATCTCAAAGCCGGGCTCCTGGAGAAGGGCTTTTGAGGCCCAGGGCAGCCTGCATAACAGCGTCCCCACAGACTAGAGTCCAGGGAACCTTAGGAGGAGGGAGGTGGGTTTTGGAGCCCCTGGGACAGGGCTACAGAGATCAGGGCTAAGTGTGAGTGACTTCGGGGTCAGGCCTTGCTTGCCTAAAGGGGTAAACGGAACCCTATGCACAGGCATCAGCACTGGGGGAGAGCTACCTAACACTGGAGACCAACCAGGAATAGCCAAGCTAGTGGGGGTGGGTTAGCTGCTGTCCCTCCCCCACACTTTGGCCTGTTCCTGCATTAGGGCTCCTCGGGCTCAGCTCTTGGGCTGAGATTCTAGGGGTTACTGTCTGGTGAAAGCAGTACTGGTTACTCAGCTTGGACTCAAATTCTAGGGGTTATTGTCTGTTAAAAACATTATCCCAACCCAATTTAGGGGAGGGTAGCACTAGGCAGACCCATTGGGCAGATTTCTTCCTTGGCCCTCCAGGGCTCACTGCTGCAAACATTCCCGAGCCCTTGCTCTAGGCCAGACCTGGCTTGGTGTAGACTATGGAGAACACAGATTTCTCCGGCATGGGTCCTGGAGGTCTTAAGTTCCAAGTGCAGTGCTGAACATGGGTGCCCAGAGTGCTCAGGTCAGCCCCTGGGCTCTTTCTCTGACAGAGAAGTAGGAGGCTCATTCCATGGTCCCTGTTCCATTCCAGACCAGACTTGGGCCTGACAGGGTTTCCACCTCCCAGGTGTTAAGGGATTAGGTTCTGGCTGGCCTGACCACCAGCGAATGCCTAGGAGTTCCTTGCAGCCCAGCACAGGGCCATCCTCCCCAGCCTGCTGACCCGAAATCAAGGTGGCCTTTTGCCCCTGCCAGCCCATCCCATTGAACCAGCCTTCACATTTGCCCCATCCTTAGAGTCACAGAGAAAAGACCTGCATTCCCAACCCACCCCAGCATCAATCTGGCTACGACAGCTTTCAGATCTTGGTTCTCCTACTTGGTCTCTGACCTGAGGCACTATATTGAACTTCTCTGGGCTTCAGTTTTCCCATGTGTAAAATGGGCATATCTTCCTAATCAGTTCATGATCAACAGTGTCCCTGTGCTGGCTTACAGGAAACCCTCACTCCTGGAGATTCCAGGCCATTCTCAAGTCTACAGCCTCATCAAGGAAATGAAGCCCAACAAACTGATACTATGATATAAGCCCCACCAATCATTAATACAAGTTTTTATTTGGCCACATATATAATTTAAGCTGTTAAAATTTGTACAATAATTCCTAGCACTCTGGGAAGCTTAGGTGGGAGGATCACTTGAGGTCAGGAGTTTGAGACCAGCCCAAGCAAGAGTGAGAATCCATCTCTACTAAAAATAGAAAAATTAGCTAGGTATGGTGCTGTGCACCTGTAGTACCAGCTACTTGGGAGGCTGAGGCAGGAGGATTGCTTGAGCCCAGGAGTTTGAGGTTGCAGTGAGCTTATGATCATGCCACTGCCCTCTATCCTGGACAAGAGAGTGAAACCCTGTCTCAAAAAAAAAATTATACAATATTTACAAATTAAATAATCATCTGAAAAAATAAAATAAATAAAAATAAATAAAAAATAAAAGTCTGATGCAGCCAGCAGAGGAGAGGATGTGCAAGAACGGGAAGGACCCTGTGTGCATTCTGGTGGGTGAGACTCTGGAAAGCAATTCAGCGTTATTGAATAAAGCCGAGCAACACCTCCCTTGGGCCCCAGCAGGACCACTCCACCTCACACCCCACGGGAACAGGGGACACACTCAGGAGTGCAGTGTGGTTTGTAATGTCCACCACCAGGAAACCACCAGATGCCTGCCAGCAGTGGGACAGAGACATCGAAGGTGGCACAGTCCACAGGGGAAGACTCTATGGCACTGAGTGACACAGGGTGATGCAGATGGAGCTGAGGTGCGGAAAGTTGAGTGAAAGGCTGCACACAAGCCACTAATTTACTTACAGTTCAAATGCAAAGCTAAACCACATTGTTTAGGCATTGAAGTGGAAAAGCTATAAAGGAAATGGCTGAAGTCAGGCTGAAATGGCTACGAAGTCAGGATGGTGGTTACTTTTGGCAGCAGGAAGTGGGTTCTGTCAGGGAAAGCACACCGGGCTTCTGGAAATTTCATGCTTTTCACCTCTTCTTGGTTGACATTAGCAATCAGGAAAATAGAAACTAAACACATAACAAGACACCACATGTCCTCACCAAAATGTCTATAATTTAAAAGTCTGACACAGATGGCAGCTAC